CCCCAAAACCCCAAAACCCCAAAACCCCTTAATGCACAATAAAATAAATCCAAGCTAGTTATAAATAATTCTAAAGATTTTAATAGAAAGATATTAAAAAGTCATGGAATAAAGAGAAGCCCCAGTATTTATTGAGACTGATGAGCTAGCAAAGCTTATTGAAACAGAGAAGGACCTTAAAGTATTTGATTGCACAATGAGTCTAACCCCCGAAGATGGAGATGCAATTCTTAACTATCACAATTCTCACATCCCTGGGTAAGAAAGTATCTCCATAATTCTAACATAGATCTGAATTCCTTGATCTCAGATACTTAAAGAATGCTAGTGCACCTTTCCCTAACACAATTCCACCTTTGGATTTATTCAAAGATACTATGAAAAAGCACAATGTGAGACTTTAATCAAGAGTTGTACTTTACGATGCTAAGGGTCTTTATATGTCGACAAGAGCCTTTTGGCTATTCAAAGTTTTTGGGCACCTCTCAGTTTCAGTTCTGAATGGAGGTCTAGCCAAATGGTTGAAGGAGGAGAGAACTGTATCAAAGAATGAAACTGGACCAGCTGACAGTTTTAACTACACTTTTAATCCAGCACTTTTTGCTGATTATTAAACAATTATAGATCTTGAGTCAAAATCCGAACCAAAAGATACATTAGTTCTAGATGCAAGACCAGATGCATCTTACGCTAATGGACATTTAACTGATGGTCACTCATTATTCTACAAGAATTTATAAACTGCAGATTGCACTGTTAAATCTACTGAAGAAATTAGAGAAATTTTAGCTAGTAAGAATCTTGACTTCACTTAAAAGATTATTACTTAATGCCAATCTGGAAATACAGCCACATATCTATTTGCTGCTTTGAAGCATGCTGGCCACGGTGATGTTAGAGTTTACGATGGTTCCTACTCAGAATATGTAAGTTAATCTTTAAAACTTTATGTTGAAATTTCTATAGTCTGCTAAGAAGTCTCAGTAATGAATAATGCTAGACACGTAATTATATGGATTGATTCCTTGAAAATCTAAAGGATTAAAATTAGTCTGTTAAATTTAATTTCAAAACTTAACTAATTAAAATTTAAGCACGTTAATAAATAATTTGAAATTAATCAAAATACTTCTAATTAAGTTTCTCAATTTTGATTGCAACAGACTTTACAAGATTGATTTATTACGACAATATATATCACAGAAAACTCATTATTCTATAAACTTTATCCAGCCCTTTCTTGGCTTGGGATCTTGGGCCCATCTATAAAAGGGTTAAGACAAATGCTAAAGTAGTTTTGATGAACTTACAATTCAATCATCCTTAGATGCTTTTTTTCTTCATCAACTATGGACTAGGGGAGAAGTGTTTCAATTAGTTTGTAAAGGTACTCATTTGGTTTGTAGTTGTGGACATTAGTGTCTACAAAATCGAAGCAAACGTCGCAGGTCCTTTGATGTCTTAACTCCAAGGGGTTTCCATTCTTCTTTTAAAGTCTTCTGAACATAAGCAGAGTTTTGTGCGATTTTCTGATGTATTGGTAGTCGTCTCTGATGTAAGCTGGGGACACATCAATGCTTTAAGTAGCCTCAACCTCTATATTTAAGTTATTATAAGTATATTCTAATTATAGGTCAAACTCATAGCATAATATATTATCATATCAGTGGGCTAGAGGTATTATAAGCTGAATTGGCACTCGAACTTACATTCTTTTTTTGTCTGGTCCAACATAACCCAGCAAACATTCTCAACATATATAAGTCCTTAACTCTCAAAATACTTAATCACCGGGCTTATTATCTCTTTCTCTACCCAGACAAAGATAAGGCCATCGATCATTAAGTTCTTAGAGAAGTTAAGTTATTAGAACTCGTCCATAGTGACACCCTTCACCTTCCCTTTTTTGTCTTTCTAGGTTACCCAGCATGGGTTTATAAGAATGGCTTCTACGTTTTTAGCATAGTTGTCAAAATTAGTTTTTACGATCCCTTCTTTAGGATGAATGACCTGAGCTAACCCCTTTGCAATAAGGTCAACCTATCCATTCTTTGTCTTATCAACCCCTTGATGATTACCATTGAGATGCTCTTATTTGTTGGCAGTATCTAAAGAGACGAGGTTATTATAATAATTAAACTTACCGCCTTTATTTTTAGTGAGGAAAGATGAGAGAGAAGTTTGCGTTGATTTCTTAGGTTGTTCTTTAATCTGATTTTAAGGATTAACTTAATTTTCTTTCCAAGGAATAATTAGGTCAAATATACTAACACCATCTAGCACCTTTCTATTCTCATTCTTCTTGGTCCCTGAATTGGCGCCAATATTTTCATAGTTAGAAAATCTTCCCTTTTTATTCTTTAATTTACTTTTAATGTCCCTCTTTTTCGCTCTCTTGTGATTTCTACAATGAAGATTTAGATTATGATGTCGATTATATTTTACTTTGGCACAAAGTCTTCATCATCTGAGTATATATCATAGTTGTACATCTTTTTATAATCTAGTGGAGCCTTGTTCCTCGTAGGTCTCTACAGCTATTAGTGCTGTATCTGAGTGTTTCCCTCCTTATTTAAGTCTGTATCGTGAGATGCATTATCACTTTGACTTTGATCATCATTCTCGAGTAAGTGCCCATTTTGGTTTTCTAAGTAGATAAAATGATTATGATTGGTACCTAACTTGCCGATGCTTTTGAATTTGCGATCTCTGAGGTTCAATCTTTTCTTGGAAAGACTCGTTTGCTGTTATAATTCCATTAAAATTATGATTAGTTTGTCAAATTAATCACTATGTATGTGACTGATCTACTTTAATTTTTAATCTCATTAACACATTTTATTTCTAAGTAATCACCTGATGGGGTTTTGGGGTCGAGGGTATGACTCTGTAGC